ACATGCTGGACCCCCAAACATGTAATGCAGTGATCGTGTCCATCATCCGGAGCCAGGAAACCCCCGCATCTAGAAACGCACAGTCGGAGCGCCATCCTGAAAAGGACGTGCTGCACGACTGTGTTGCTCTTTTAGGAAAGTTTGCAACAATACGCACCGCTCTGGAGAACCAGACCCAAAGAACCGCAGGCAAGGGAGAAACTCAGCTCGACCGTCTGCCTCCGCGAAAACCCACTCTGGACTGGGAGACACTCGTTCGCTCTGAAGTCGCTGAATCAGCAAGAGGAACCCCCATCGACTCGATCAGAAAGTCTCTGAAGCGAAAAGGATGGCGTTTGCTCGCTCCAGGTGTGCTTATATGCTGGGATAATGAAGCACACCTGCACAAGCTTTCGCTGCCAATTCATTGCTTTCATTGGCCCGTTCAATACTCTTTTAGACAAGCGGCTTCTAAACCGAATCCTCCCATACGTGGATTTTCCCAAGATCAAATCCACTTATAGCACTGAAGTTCCCCAACCGAAGGGGAACTCTCAGCACAACATTAAAAGATTAAAAGAATAAGACTTTTCTACTGCAAGTATTCTATGTTCAGTTTCGACTTCTCTGCTCACATGAAGTTTAGCTGCAGAACTAAAGTTAATTTTAGTCATTCAGGTCATTGCAGTTTTATCAGCTCCATCCACTTCTGGAAAAATGCTTCAATAATATGCAAGACGTATTACACTTAGAGAAGAAGTGTGGTTAATATATCACGTTAAGCATTTCATATCACGTTAAGCAATACAAATACAATTCTATAATGAAAAGAAAAAGAGACAAATATAATTTTTAAAAAAAAATTCATTTTTCCTAACAGCCATTAGGGACCATCTGCACGTAGGCTCAGAAGGCTGTTACTATCTATTCACATGGTTAGTTAGCTACACTAATAGAGAAGACTCCAGATCCAAATCTGTTTTACATTACTGTGACTGTTGGGTTTAGGGTTGGGGTAGACATTAATAAAATACAATCAATGGCAAATTGAATAAATAATATAAAGAATTCACATAGTTAATCAGCTATAGCAATAGAGTACACTCCAGATTCAGATCTGTTTTTATGGGTTTAGGGTTGGGGTAGACATTAATAAAATACAATTATTGTAAATTTAATAAAGTATATAAATAATTCTTGTTAACTTCCGGCTGCAGCGGAATATGATCTATAGTTGATTAACCATGTGGATTACTACTAGTAGGTGCAGTAGGGCCCCCCTACTGGCCCGTATCTATCAGCTGAAAATCACTGATAATGCCCATTCAATCAAGTGGTAACATTTGAATCGTGTGGAATCTGACATTTTCTGTCAGAATTTTTCACATGTTAACAAATACATTTGACCTCATGTTGTGTCTATCGCAATTATGCACAGCCTTTGGAACTTTTGTCCTTTACAAAAAAAAAAAATTTATAAAACAAACAAAAAAAAAAATTTGGATTGGACTTTCAGTTGTAAAAAACAACTTTTCAGATTTGTAAAAAAACATTTTGAAAGCCATTTTATGCATTTGGAGCCACCGTAGTGCAGTGGCCATGGGAGTTCAACCCTGCTGCAAGTTAAGAAAACATACAAATAGATAAACACTAACAAACCGAGAAAACATCTTGGGCCATGCCCACACTAATACATTTTCGTTTAAAAATGTGTATTTGCTCTCTGTCTTGGCCTTCCGTCCATAGTTTTAGTAAAGGAAACTGTATCTTTTTGAATGTGGATACATTTGAATGTGGACATTTAAAAATGCTGTTTGGGGTTGCAGTGTGGACTGTAACAAAACAGAAGCTTTTAAAAAAGTGTTTTAGTAACGTGATGTAGTCATGTGACTAATTCAGCTAATATGGTGGACAACATTTTCTGCTTTGACAGCTTCATTAAAGATTAATGCCAGGTTGAACATGCTCCATTTTACCTCTCTTCAATGCACACATAATGTTTACTGCAGCTAATGTTCAGCAGCAGAAGCAGATGACAGTTGCGACATTATGCTGTGATGTTTCAAAGACAGAAAGTAAATAAATGCCATGCGTATATAATGCAGGTAAAAGCATCTTACTTCTGTGCACATGTGCAGTACTAAACGAAAGCGGTTTCAGTCATTCTGATGTGGATGATGAAAAGAATTGATAATGATAGTTTGGACATGGAGCGTTTTTAGACGACAAAAAACACCATTTTCAAATGTATCGAGATTAGTGTAAACTTTCCTCAGTTTAACATCACACAGACATCCAAATTCTCAACAAAAAATTCAGACACTTGCTTCAAGATAAACAAAATGCTGCCAAATTGATTTCCTTCTGTTTTTATGTGTTTTCCTAACTTGAAGTGTGTTTGAGCTCTCTCAGCTGCCGTACCACCACATCTTTTTGAGCTACATTTACTAACGGATAAAAAACATGGCTCCAATTTAATAAGCCTGACACAATTATACAATTGATAATTTCAGTGTGAAAACAAAAAACAAATTATAGCCTATATAACATAACAGCAATGTATAAGCACAACGTGTGTAAATGTGTGCCCGCAAACATTAAGATACTATGCAAACGATATAATGTGGGGGAAATGTGTTCATATTTTTAATGCCATCTAACTTTACTAGTTTTACTTTAGCTGGGGAACATTCATGAGCATTCCTTTTTTGTAGTTTTAACATTGTTTTGTTGCACATCATTTATAAGAAATGGCATTACAGAAAAAAAAAAAAAAACTAATTATATTTTACTCCAATAAATAAGGATTATCATTCAGAGATTTTTTTGTTTGTTTGAAATAATACAAAAAATTATGTTTTTAGGCATATAATTTTAGACAACAACAGGGTTCATACAGTCACGGAAAACCTGAAAAAGTCATGTAATTTTGACATGGCATTTTCCAGGCCTGGAAAAGTTTTGGAAAAACCTACAAAGTTTTGCAAAAGTCATGGAAATTAGTTTAACAAATATCTATCTACTTGAATTAGGGCTGCACGATATTGAAAAAAACTGACATTACGATATTTTGTATTTCTGTGATATATATTGTGATGTGAAGACAATTTCACCAGATGATTTACCAGGTTTATTTGGGTTGATATCAAGGATTTGATAAAGGAGTGAATCTTGAATAATATATAACAAATTACCAGCATGAATAAATATAGTAAAGATAAAAGTGAAATCTAGTTTTCAGGTATTCACTATTCAGGTACAGATATTGAATAATCAACACTGCATAGTCATTGTATATTATTTAATCTTTAGTGAAGTTACAAAAAAAAAACAAAAACGGATGCTTTAAAATTAGCAGTACTGAAATGTTCACAGTCACAGGCCTTAAAGGGACAGTTAACTTATGGATTAAAATGTGCTCACTATTTACTCACACTTTACTTGTTTCAATACTATAGGAGTTATTAATATATATTCGTTTGTGTCCATTTAAAAAAAAAGTAAACTCAAATGTTTTAAACAAGTGAATGGTGTAATGAAAATGGGAAGTCATTTTTGGGTAAACTATCTCTTTAAAAATGCATGCAGATAATGAACTTTTACTCCATTATGATTAAACTATAATCGCAACATTGCATATCCTGCGATTGTGACTATTGCAGATGCACACATTGCGATATCGATGCTGAAATTATATATTGTGCAGCATTAACTTACTTGTTTTATTTTTTTATCCTTGGCCAAAAACGTGCACTCACATTGTTAGTGCTGCATTATCAAAATCAATTTTTCATACAAACAAATTTAAACAAAATTGTTGCGTTCTGTGATATGCTGTAATAAATTTGAACGTTGTTGTTGTTTTTCTCATTATTTACCATGTATATGTAGACATTACATCATGAAAATGTACTTGAAAGTTCTGCAGAAGTCTTAGAATTTTTGTAGTAAAAAGGTGTATAAACCCGTGCAATGCAGAATGCGTTTTAACGTCAGATGCACTAGAAATTATTATTTGTGGAATAATCATGATTTTCAATCAGGTTTCATCCGAAGTTTTCTTCTAAAATGAAAAATAAAATACACCCTTTCCTAATATGCAGATAAACTGAACAATTTTAAAGAGCTCTGAATTTTCCCTATGTGTGTGTGTGTGTGTGTGTGTGTATGTATATATATATATATATATATATATATATACACACACATATACATACATACACACACCCACATATATATATATGTGTGTGTGTGTGTGTGTGTATGTATATATATATATATATATATATATATATATATATATATATATATATATACATACATACATACATACATACATACACGCACCCACATACATATATATATATATATATATATACATACATACATACACGCACCCACATACATACATATATATATATATATATATATATATATATATATATATATATATACATACATCTTTACAGTTTAGCAATTTAAATACTTAAAGGGATAGTTCACCAAAACATTTAATTTTTACTTTCCTTGATGCGGTTCCAAGCTTTTATGAGTTTTTCCCTACTGAACACAAAAGAAGATATTTTGAACAATGTTAGAAACCATTATATAACTTTCATTACCTATGAAAGATAATGGTACCCAGTTTTTATCGATTTATTCCAAAATATGATCTTTTCTGTTCATCAGAAGAAACTCAAATATGTTTAAAACAAGTGGAGGGTCAGTAAACGGTAACTTAATATTCATTTTTGGGGTGAAATATCCCTTTAAGATGCTATGAAGAACAATAAAGAAACAAGCATGTGGATAAAGTGAGTGTCTTCTTCTGTGCGCAGGAATGATCTTCTTCACTGGCAGGCGGTGGGAAACCCTCCTTGCAGAGGAACATGGAGGAAAGTACAGAGACTACAGCACTGCTCCTGTCCACAAGTGCACAGCTTCATCTTCATTTAAAAACATTCTTCCAGAGCCCTTGGTAAAACCCACAAATCAACTAAATGTACTATTAGATGCAAATCATTTCAAATGTATACACATTTATTTACAACACTTTCACTTTTACAGCTGCATCATTTCAAAAACGTTTTTTTCCTGTGAAAGATGAACAGAATTCAAATACAAAACAAAGCTTACTCTAGACTCATCTGCATCCTCTACTGGACAAATGTTGGTCTTACAGTTTAAATAAATGGCAACATAATGCTGAAAGCTTTTAATCAATTCAGAAAAAATACTAACATTTTTTACTTGCTGTGTGAAATGACATGTATAACTGCTGAAATTCTGTGACATCGTAAAAAAATGTTGGTTATGTTGTAAACTAAATAAAGTAAATTGGTTTAAAGAAATAAAAAACATCTACCATTAAAATATAAATATATATTGCACAAGCACTATGCACAGCTGAGAACTGAAATACAAGAAATGTCTTTAAATATTAAAAGCAGAAGGCAGCTGTAGCTCAAGAGACAAGATTCTGTTTCTTTAGGACTCTCCATCTGTCTTTCAAATTAACAGTGGTGCGATTGTCAAAATCAAAGTCATTAAGGATTTTGCTCCATTTGCCAACCCCATGTTTCTTCACACCTGCTTTCAGCTTCTTGTCTTCTACATCAGTCCATTTCTGAAAAAACAAACAAACAAAAAACAACAACACATTGATTCTCTTTATATGTTTTGATGGATTTGCTCTTCTGTGTTTGGACTTTCAGCAGTGAAATTTAAACCACACTGAACTGAACTAAACTAAACTGAACTTCAGCTCTGAAAACTGGCCCGATAATTTCAATTGCAATTGACTAGAACTTCTGCTTTGATACAATCTACATTGTAAAAGCGCTATAGAAATAAAGATGAAAAAAATGTTAAATGCATGCTTGCACTAGAAAGGAAGACAATGAGAAGTAACTCACCTTCCTGGAATGGCGTGACACAGTAATATTGCTGTGTAATTCGGAAGGGGTATTACTTCTCCTGGAAACCTCTGTGTGAATAAGACCAATATTCATCAATGGTTAAATATGAATAATTGCACAAAGAAAGACTTCATTGATGTTGTGATCCACATTTTAAAGACCATTATCTTGACAATATTAATGTTTTTTTTTGAGGTTTGAAGGTTTATGAGTTTTGGTTTGTCGTGATTTGGTCTACCACTTGTAGGGGTGTAACAGATCATGATTGATTCGTACAGATGATTCATACACATATGATCCGCAGATTAATACATTGTTTTTTTACTTGTAGAATAATCCTAAATTTATAACAATAGCAAATAGACCATGTCTCACGTCATTTAAATCATATGTATGAAAGCGTTTAGGCTTTCCTGTAAAATATAATGATGACAGAAGAAGTTGTGGTGGGTTACTCGGGATGTGGTGGTTCTAAAGTTATTAAAGGGGTTTTTCGTTCCTACTTGTCTAGCCTGCATCAACGCCTTTAGTGTAAGCTGCATGATTAATCATTAAAAGTTCGGAATCTTAACAACAGACAACAAAACTTAAAAATGATGGTGATTTGTATGTTTATTAATCCCAAGAGTTTTGGTCTTCAGTCTTTGGAGCTATGATGTTACGAACAGTCATTTGCTCAAAAGTGAAATTTATATTGTATTGTGTTAATTACCAATTACATAACCAATAGATAGCCTTTAAAAATATGCCACTGAATAATTCTTTAAAAATGATCCATCTGGCAGTGCAACATGAAGTTTTATGATTGAATCACTGAATCATTAATTGAAAATGAGACTAAAAATAAATATGGGTTGTTCAAATGATAATGTTCTACATTTAGCATCATCGGCAACAGTAGTAGTAAAAGTGAATTTTTCACAGAACTCCTTATTTTGCAATTTATTTTTATTCAGCTGATTATTTCTTCATTTTGGAAAAAAAAAAAAAAAGCAAATTAAATTTGTCTCCCCCCCTTTTGGCTGATGCGAAAAGTGGTCCGATCCGTGACTAAAAAAAACATAATGTGATCTGAACCACGAGATTTATGATACGTTAACCACTAACCACTTGTGAAATTAAAAACTCATCACCAGATCTGAATTTAAATGAGGGGTGCATTCGTCTTATGTGGATTACTCAGTTGACTGGATTTGATTATTGACAATCCAGGATAGTTTCATTCTTCATAACTCATCCAGAAGTTGTTGTCATCGATCAGGTTTGAGCTTGTTTACCTGTTTCTGAGCAGGCTTATTTCACATAAACAGAACTAGATTGTTTCATTTAAAGGTGATTTTTAAAGTATGTACCAGCAACTGGTATTTTTAAAGTGATTTAAGTTAGAGAAAACAACAAAGTTCATTTTTATAAGTGTTTTAATCAACCCTCCAAATTAAAGGTACAAAAACTGTCATGGGGTGCTAGTAAGTAAGTAATATGCATTTATTTAGCACATATGGGGGGTGATGGGAAAAGGCTGTTGGGGTGGTACCTTATCATAGAGTTTTAAGTGCAGGCTTGATAGGGTTACCTTTTAAGTGTATTCCTATACAGTTACAAATTATTACTTTAAAAACGTATTCAGTAACTTAAGAAAGCAATATAGAAAAGTAATGCTTTTAGATTACTTAGGTTTTTTTAAGTCTCATATATAAAGTCAAGGATGTAACTTTAAAAAATTATAGTTACTAGTTTTTGTATGCAGATTTGTAACGCCATTACATGCATTCCGTTTCCCCCCAAAATTTAGAGTGGATTTTCTTTTAGACTAATCAAGTTTTTTAATCCTCTGGTATAACTGGTTATTCAATTTAACTTTGCACCAAAAAACATTTTGATATTTCAATCAATCAATCAAGCCTTTATTTATTTATTATTTGAGAAGTGGTCTGCATTTTCAACGCAATTTTATACTTATTCCTTTACACACAGAAAAATCAGGGAGAATTTTGCCATGTCTGTCAAATTTTACTAAAGCTGGGCCAGTACATTTTTAAAGTATGCGTTTGTACCAAAAATGTCCATATTGGTATCTTAAAAGCATATATTAGTATTAAAAGTATAAATATTAGTTATAAAAAATGTTGTTAAAAAATTATTTTTGTCAAGCTAAATAAATAGCTAAATACTACACACTTGACTCACAAAGTGTAAAGCTTGTATTGACCTTAATCTGCAATGTGAAAGTGCTCTCGTGTTTGTGATTGTTTTAAAACTTATAATTCATTTTCCTGAGACAAATGACTAGGAATAATAAACAACAGAAAGCAATCAAACTACTTGCTTGACAAACAAGTGGGTTTATGACGATACATAAAAAAATAATATAATGATAAAATATCAGTTTGCCACACGAAGCAGAATAACAAGCTGTTTTTAACATCTCAATATCAATGAAAGTGAATAAGACCTGAAATCTAGAGCAAAAACAATTCCAATGGCTTCATCTGCTTGTTTGTGAACTATTTTAAATAACTAAATTAACCATATTACACATATAAGGGGACCAAAATAAGCTCCATAAATAAATAAAGGGTTTATTTAGACTATGCAGACCAGTTATGAAAGTGAAACTGGAATTGCTGTTGACTAATTTAAGCAGTTGAGATTCAACTGATTCTTTCTTGAGATTTGATACACTTTCACATTTTAAAACAGCAAAATGACACACTACATGGAAGGTAGGGACTCTCTAAAGAACTGTGTATAGTACGCATTGTTTATTAGACATGGAAACCACTAACCAAGTTTCAAATTAAAAAATGATATGAATAATTTGCTAATAAAGCATAATTTGCATCACTTGAATTGAGAATAAAATAATCACTTATTGGGAAATAGACTCAAAGGATCAATACTAAAAATTAAAAGTTCAACCAGGGAAAGCACTCCCTTACTGGAGTTAACTTACTGCAAATAGAGGTTCTCTTGAGTGTGGCGTGAGCTTTCTTTGCAGTTTCTGGCTTCCATGGATCATTTTGTTTTGGAAGAAGTCTTCTTTTGGGTCTGCATAACAGAATCACTTCAGTTATTAAAGCAATTATAATGAAAGTAATGGAATAAAGTCTTTAAATATAGGAGAGGAGAGTTTCACTAATCATAATTAAAAGTGAGTCATTACAGTGACTCTTAATATTCATACATTTGGAAGTTTATTCTGGTGCAGAAACCACTTTAAGACCTCACCTGATATTTACCACAAGTGGATCCTCATGTTCCTCATTTCTGTATGGAAACAAAAGCAGAAAATAAAGACATCATTAGCTCAAGTGCACATAATATTTATAAATAAAACCTTAATCATATCTATAAATAAAGATGTTCAATAATTAAAAAGGGCTATTACATTCATAAGTGACTAGAATGAAATGTCATTTATCATCTGAAATGTGCCTTGTCAGATTGATAAATGCTGTTTATAGCGAAATGCACTATAATTTGTTTAGTTTTTCATTCCCTTTTTGTTTTAAATGTCACTAAATTGCAGAGTGAGGGATCTAAACCACCCATTTAGAATATTTCTCACCATTTTATTTATGTCTTTAAATAACCAATTTTGTCAATATTTCCATTAATTCAGAATAAAAATACAAAGTGTGACATATCATACAGTCATACTGGAGTGATATAAACACAATGAGTCTCTCTTTTTAAATTCCCTGATGTTAAATTAGGATCCAAATACCTCCCATTTTGAGTCCCCGAGACGTAGTAGTGTGGAGTGTGGTTTCCCCGCCCACTGAATTAATTGACAGCGGTGTATTAATTAATGTCTACGTAGTAACTCGTATAACCATATCAACAGGACGTACGCAAAGCAACTAAAAATAAAAAAATCAAACGCATTGAATAATCATTGGGAAAGTTCTTACTGTAGTATTTCTCACAAAGGTTACGCTTCCTACATGTCTATCACTATGCTGTTTATCTGACGCAGCCGGAGACAGAAACACATGGGAACAGTGGGCGGGGAGAACAAACAAAGGCACAGGCAACAAAAAAAAGCTACATTGTGTTCAGAGCTAAAAATTCCAATATTCTAAAAAGGTATAATAAATAATGGGATGGGTGTTTTGAGCTTAAACTTTAGAGACACATTCTGGAGACACAAAAGACTCGTTTTAAATCTTGAAAAAAGGTGTAAAATAGGTGCTCTTCAAAATTTAAAGCCCTTATGATTTATTTTTCAGACTTATACAGGGCTAAACGCCAAGTCTTTTTTCTAATTGCCTGGTTAGGGGTAAATGTAAAAGATTGTTATTTGCCACACCAAAAAACAAAATCTAATTTTAGTTATTTCTTATGCCACATGTTTTAAACAATGAGCCAAAACAAGCAAACTCTAGTTGCATACACACGTGTTTTCAATGAAACATTGTAAAAAAATTACAAGTTTTAAAAACTATAATGAACTAAGGCCCAATCCCAATTCTACCCCTTAGCCCTTTCCCTAACGACTTGTTTTGCGCGTTCACGTGAAGTGATAGGGTGTCCCGATTTTCTTTAGCTTGAAGGTGTAGGGCTAAGGGGAAGGGGTAGATACCTCTTCGAACGAAGATTTAGGACCACACTCGAAACCAAGAGGTAAGAAAATGACCTAGAATACACCAGCCACAACGGCAGCATAGCTGCACCCAAAAGTCAGGAGATCCACAAATGAGTATGTTTAGTCAATATTACTAATTTCTACAATAAACAAGCATAGGTTTTAAAACATTCATAACAGAGTTTGTGTTTTTTGTACTTGTACAAAAAAAAAAAAAAAAAAAACAAGCTCTAAAATAAAAACTGCTATCTATAATCAATAATAATAACTCTTGTATAGCAGTCCCACAACATTCTGACAGTGGAATACCCTGTCAGAAAAGTATAGTGGCTGAGAATGAGCTTTTTACACTTCCTGTTATACTGTTGTTTTTTGTGTTTATATAGATAAATATAGCCTTGGTGTAAATGCACAGTAAGGTTGCAATCTTATTGCCCCAATATATCATTATGATTATATCATTATCTTCATTGATTTCCTGAAAATAAATCTTAAAAAATAACACGACTGGAATAACTCAGCAGTCGCGATTGTCTGATCTAATATGAAGCAAGAGATCGCGATGACATATGATGATGTGTCCAGGTGCTGTAGTACTGTCCTATTTCTTAAGAGTAAATTTTGAAGCCCTTCCCCTTTACACTGTTTCAAGGGCCAAGGGAAAGGGGAATTGGGTAGGGGTACAAAAATAGAATTAGGATTGGGCCTAAATGTCTGACCAGGTCAGTTTGCATAGCAGGTAGCTATATATACATGGAGAACTTTTAAACAAATGTATTTATAAAGGTAGATAATTAAACAATAGTGGTAAATACAGTTAATAATAAATAACGTTTTTGTTAAAAGTTTTATTCAGATACATGGTTGGTGATGGTGGATGTTGTCCCAATTAAATAGCTTTACATAGACAAATGAAAATGAAAATCTGTTCAAGTCCGACAACACAATAGTTCAGTAAATGAAAGAATTAAGGACTAAAATTTGTTTTTCAAATTTAAGACAGTTGAAGACAACATGAACACCCTACAAAATTTTAAGAAAAGTACCAGATAAAAAAAAAAAAACTACAATATGACTATAATGTGATTTTTGCTGTTCAAAATATTTCTTTTAACAACATTGAGATTTTTAGACATATAATAAACTTAAAGCAGGTGTTGATGATATATGTAAATTATGCATTACGGTGCTCTAGAAACACAGTGCAATCCAAGTAACCAAGGGTCTTGAGCATATAGCACATCTGACATTTTTGTACATATCATACTCAAAGCTGATACTTTGTATGAATTAAACTTAGTTTTGTATGATTTGCTCTGAGAGAAACGTTAAAGTATTCAAAATATGTGCAAGTATTGGTTTCTGCGTTTTTCATATTGTTGCTGATATGCCAATAGCTTTAAATGAATCCAATATCAGCCAATGAATATCTGCATCCTTATTTTTGTACTCTTCAAGATGTACTGTTGACCCCCCCCACCCCCAGAAAAGACGGTAATCACAATCAACTGCGGTTAAAGATTTAGTAGATGAGATGACTTTACTCTGATTCTGATTTGTCTGACTGTAGGCTGGGTGGTGTCTCTTCAGTTTCCTCCAGTTCAGATCTCTCATGACGAGCTTGAACAACTTTTGATGCTGCCTAAACAAACACACACAAAAAATATGATTCACTTAACCACGCTTCTAGTAATACAAAACAAAAAACAAACAAATAGCAGCAACATGACTGCATGTTCAGTGCTGCTCAACATCTCGGCTTCTCTTTGGTGGATACTGAGAATTGAAGGTAAAGCTAATTGCCGCATTTTAATACCCCCAGAAAAAAAAAAAACACAACTCAAAGACATCATTAGGCAGATTCCCAGTATGTACTGTAACCACACTGAAACCACAGTCAATGAAGCCCATTAGCGATGTGAGCGTCTTTACCACGATGTAGCAAAACAAGTTTATCATGAAGTATATCAGAATTTTTATATGTAAAATAAATGGGCCTCATACTTCGAGTAAGAAAACGGAGGCATATTGCTGGTTGAAAGCTTCAAGGAATGTGTCGATGGTCTCCATTAGCTTATCAAAACTGAAGTTCATCAGGATCTGATCATATGCATCCTTCTTGTTCACAATGGTGGCAAGCTTTCGTTGTAGCTTCTGTTAAGATGGGGACAAAATATAGGTTAATGCAGCATCATTCGGGCCCTATGAAATCAGTTGCATACCCCCATCATTTAAATAAATCCAGTTCAAAAAAAAAAAATATTAATAAATAAATAGGTAGAACGTTAGGTTTTTATCGTTCATTCTGCTAAACCTAAAAAAAAAATGCTGTTAAATTTAATTTTTTTCCTGATTTCAATAAATTGGACATGCTTTTTTTGATTACTTGAATTTATTATTTACTTTTAAAATAGAGCCCAGAAAAATGAACACACATTTTATAGGGCCATACTATTTTTGTTTAATTTGATCAAAAACACATTTTATTCCATTTTAATTTGTCTGGATTATTTAAATTGTTAGATTTGATTTTACTCAACTGAAATCATGACACTTACACAATTTAACAATTTAATTACTAATAATTATCCTCAATAAAACCCCTATTTAATTTTGTTACATTTAAACTGTGTGATTATTCTTTTTAGATTTTACATATTTTTAAATCATTGTACTATGAGATGAACATTCTACTGTACAACAATAAGTTTAATTTTGTGAGGTTGTCATGAAGACATTTAATTTTGTGTATACTATTAAAATGTCAGATTCCCAAAAAATTAAAACATATTTGTAGGGCCCAACTATTTTTGTTTAATTTATTTTAAAAAAAATTCTATTTTAAATTATGTGGACCATTATTATTAAATTAAATTAGACTAATTAACTGAAATTATTACATTTTATAAATTTTACATTCTAATAGTTAACCTCATTAAATAAAACCATTATCTGGGTTTCTGCAGGTTTCTTCAAGTCAAATTTAAGACCCTTTTAAGACTTACACAGAGCCAAACATTAAAGGTTTTTTCTAATGAGCCAGCTACTTCTGTAAATTGTTTTTGTATTAATGTAAGATTGTTTAAGGGGACTTAATGCTTCTTTCCCCAATTAGGGAATTTATTTAGCAGAATTTGCAGTAAAAATGTGTAACAGCTGTTCTCTTTGCAATAAATAACTTAAATATAAAAAAGTTGAGATGAATTATAAGTGATTGGGCTCGATAGGGTAGCTTTACCTGGACATAGAAAAATTAAGACCTGTTTAAAATGATTTAATACCTATAACTCAATATTTCAGTGAATGGAAAGACTTAAAAACTTATTGAATTTAAGATTTAGATTTTGAAATTTAAGACGTTTTTAGAGTTAAGACCTCACGGATACCGTTTATACTCTTGTTCAAATTAAAACACCAACAAAACCGTGTGATTATTGTTTTAAAATTATAAAACTTATACAATTTAACATTTTACAATTTTCTTTTTGTATTAATTAATCTCAATAAAGTCCACCACTTAATATTTAAATTTTAATATTTTTCGACATATACAGTTAAAGTCAGAATTATTAGCCCCACTTTGATTTTTTTTTTCTTCTTTAAATATTTCCCAAATAATGTGAAACAGAGCATGGACATTTTCACAGTATGTCAGATTATATATATATTTTTTTATTTCAGCAAGAATAAAATTTTAATAAAAAAAACTTTAATAAGAAAATAAAATAAAAAAAGGTCAAAATTACTAGCCCCTTTAGCTATATATTTTTTTCGATAAGTCTACAGAACAAACCATCATTACACAATAACGTGCCTAATTACCCAAACCTGCCTTGTTAACCAAGTTAAGCCTTTAAGTGTCACTTTAAGCTGTATAAAAGTGTCTTGAAAAATATATAGTCAAATATTATTCACTATCATCATGACAAAGACAAAATAAATCAGTTATTAGAAATGAGTTATTAAAAAAATATTGTTTAGAGCGGTGTTGAAAAAATATTCACCGTTAAACAGACATTAAGGAAAAAAAATAAACGGGAGCTAATAATTCTGACTTAAACTGTATATTCTACTGTACAACAATAAAATGCCTATGTAACAATTTAATGGTTAATTTTGCGAGGTTGTCATGAAGACGTCTGATTGTGTGTCTACTTGACATAACAACAGTTTCTCTCAAATTAAAACAGTAAAAATCATCATAAAGTAAACTCCCAGAGCAGCAGATGAAGTTCATCAGACCATAAAAACACCACAAGCAGAATATGTGCTTGAGAATGCATAGAATTAATGAAACTGCACTATATATTGACAGACTTATTTCTTTGCATTTTATTACTCAGTCTGATTAAGTGTACAGCAGTACTTTTGATTTATTCATCCAGAACAAATTGACAAATTCTGCGACATTAACAGTAAATTTCATCTTTATGACTGGATTCATCGATTCTGTCTGAGTTTTCTGCATTAAATAAATCACAGGGTTCTACGATGCTTGAAAAAAGTATTTTAAACGGTGACGTGAAATACCCACCTCTGGTACATCTGTCTGTTCTTCCAGCCACTGCAAGGTTTCTTTGGCCAATTTGTCATATCCTTTCTTGACACACACAGAGACACTCTTGGACATACAAGGAAAGCAGTTTCTTGACTTTACCTCATTTAAATTCTACACAAGTGAATCATCCATCACTCTCAAACAAATACCTGAACCATCAGTAGCGTCTGAATCTTTCCATGTAAAGTAGGATCAGAAAAGTCCTTTAATGACTCCCAAACTGGGACAGCTGACATCAAGGGGGTGATTCGAGCAACGTGATCATAACGGACATCTGAAATCCACAACGCAACTCACAATAAGCTTCTGCCCTGATGGGTCACCTGACAGCAGGCTTTTGTTGGTATTAAATTTTCTTGTTGTGACTAGTTGCTGAAGCTTTTATCATATATCTGTATTTCATCATATATTGAGTTAAGCTGTGGAAAGATTACTTTAAGAGGTATACTAACAAAAATACTTTGTGTATTGCTTTACATGTTTGGAATTAAATTGACAACTGAATTGCAGAAGGATGATATAGTACAACATGTAACACTTTACAATAAATTCTCATTAGTAAACATTAATTAATGCAATAACATCAACATTTTGAAAAAGCCATAGTAAATTTATGTTAATTAATAAAATAATACAACTGTATTATATTAGCTATTAATAATAAAACCCACGAATTATGGCTGTTTTAATGCATTATTACCCAAAGAACCCATATCTGCTAAGATTAATACATGTTTTTGTACTTTTTATTGCACTGACTAAATGAATAGTAATAATAATAATACATTTTATTTATAATGCACTTTTCTTAGACTCAAAATGCTACAAGGCAAAATACCAACATGTTAATAAATGGCACGTTAAAAAAGGCCTATATAAATAAATCACAGAACCTTCAATGTTGTGGGGCAGATTAATGTGAATGTGTTCATATTTTATAACTATTAAGTCTTCAAGCATATGGTGCTGTGATTAACTATTACTGCAAATACAACAATCTGAATTCTAAAAAGGGAAGGTTTAAAAGTTTAAATAATAAATTCTTATTTATTAATTATTTACTGTATTTCAAAGTGCCTACAATATCAATATTGCACATTGTTCATTATCACAATATTTTGAATATTGTTATATGTTTACCTGATTGTTCAAATGTGATTTGATTTGAATAAAACAAACTGATGCAACTGCTGTTATTGCGCTTCTTTGCAATTACTGAATAAATGTACTATATATCAATTCATAATATTCAGTGTGTTTGTTTCAGTTTCACTTTAAAGTCATTAAGTTTTTATGGTAATAATACATGTAATTTATAGTAAATGCAACCGTTATCTTGTTTTTGTTTTGATTAGTTACATTTTAACAATATGTTATGGTGTGATGGTAATCGAAGTAGAAGAGCTTTAAACGTTTATTTATGTATAGAAGTAGAACTAGTTTAAGTTTACTTACTAAATTTAATTTCTTTATGTGAATATGTTAAAGTTATATACTAATAAATTATATACTTATTATAATATACATTTATATTATTATAGTGTGTGTTACACTTAAACTCGGTTTTTATTACTGTTTCAGCTGCTTCAGACAAAAAAGTATTAACAAACATAATACACATTTTAAAAATCCTGGACCTTGGTAAATACTGAACTAAAATAAAATGTAAAATTCTTGTATATAATATTGCAAATTACAGCAAGGACCAGTAGTGTGCTTCCAAAGAAAACTAAAACTAAAAACTAAAAATTATTTTCCGACACATAGCCTGTGTTATTTTCTTATGTGTTGACATGAACTTACCCAGGTTTTCCCCGTCCATCACTCTGGCTAGGAAGCAACAGACGGTTCTCTGAGAGGAATGTGATTCGAGCTCATCCACTAAACCTAAACACATCAAAATAAAAAACAAAACATTACAAGGGTGTTACACCAAGCGGAAGTCAAAATGTAAGCAAAGTTACCGCTTGATGTTTAACTTCACATCAAAACAGGTTAGCATGTAAACTCATTACGTTACCTTCAAATAACTTCAGTTCTTTTCGAAACTCCACCGAAGACCTTTCTCTAAAAAGCCGACATAATGTTGCAAAATAATAGTCAATAATCCATGACTGAACAACGTTATTAACTTCTTGTGAAGTTGTTTTATCACTAGTACTCGTAATCTCATGTGACTCCGACTCCATCTTCAGGTTTATGATTATGAAACCACAACCGAACGTTCCCGCCATCTGTTTGTTTATTATAAACCGTGGGCACAGCGCCATCTATTGGCGCGGAGGACACAACTCCTATCGCACAGAAAGTAACGTTGCTTGCTTGATAAAATTAGCACATTATTGTGCAGTACCTGTAAGGTTAACACTAAGGTGAATTTTATACTTAATTTCAATATTTTCTCCGAGTAGTCCTACTGTCCTACTAACGTCCAACATGAGAAAAAACAACTTCATTTGGTGTGAAAAGTAGCACTCACCTTTGTAAGTAACTTAGCTTATCACGTTAGCAAAGTATGTTGGATTTTGTGCTGTGGTTTGTTTTAGTTTAAAATTGCATTTCCTGGTTGATAAAGGTACTGAAATCGGTATGATATGATCAACATTAAATGATAGTAATGTTAGCCTACTAGTCAAATATTTTTGAAAGACTTTTTTTTTGCTCCTATTAGTTTGTCAATTTGACAATAAATAAACAAATAAATATGTAAATAGATATATTTTATTCTCTGTGAGTATATAAAAACACAGTCCTTCTGAAATCATTCTAATAATGTGCAGCATTACTGTTTACAACATTGATTTCCTTCAGGTTTTTGTGGAAAGCATAGCCTACATTTTATTTTTCAAGATTCTTTATTATTAGAATGTTCTAATACCATCATTTTGTTAAAAAATATTTAGCTATAAATGTCCCTGCTGTATTTTGTATGTTTGATGCATTTGATAAAACTAAACAAACAAACAAACAAACAAACTATTCAAAATTGAGAATAAAGGGAAATGTTTCTGGAGCAGCAAATCAGATACAAAAACTTTCTGGCAGATCACGTGACACTGAAGACTAGAGTAATTCTTTTGAAATTGAGCTTTAATGTGAGTTTTTTTTAACCTAATTTATGAACATAGGTGGGACGAGCTATTTTCATCTAATTAAAGTCCAATATTTAAGCTGCTTTTAGGATCAGTTGAAGATATTTGATAGTGCTGATTGGAAATTTGGGTAAAAGGGTATTTTAGTAGTTGAACAAAACAAGAGCGTGAGTGAGAACTAGCATGCTTTAGGGCAATTCTACATTACCGTGTAGTTCTATCTGTAGTCTGTAAAGTTCAGTGGATTATCAATCACATTTTTAAGGCTCCTGGCAAAGAAGGCCTTCATTGGACTCCCAAATGCCCCCTGGAACTGCCATCTGCTCTGGGAGCATGTTCATGATATGTGTGTATTTTAATGGCTTAAATGCAAGCACGAATTCCAGGTATGGGTCACCAAACCTGGCCACGTCACTTTCACTTCACTTTTCAATTTCCAAGCAGTTTTGTCATGGTAGGTTTGAGTCTAAGATGTTTGTCTTTCATCCAGCTAGAAATGCCCATCAAACAGATAGGTGAGCAGCTATCTTCAGGGCCCAGGTTTTCAAAAGTAATCCATTTTGGATTACGGATTGGATCACATCGTGGAAATGGGTTTTTCAAAAGTAACAGAGTAATTCTGAATTAAGATCAGACCATGTAATCCAGTCTTATGTTTGATTTGGCTCAAACCTGCCCTCTGGATTTTTCAAAACTTTGAACTTAGATTGGGATATATTTGATCCAAAAAACAGGATTATCCAGATGCCATCAGAAAAGTGGATTTAGTTGGGATTTTCTTGAAGCAAATAAAATAAAACGTTTTATTTTTTAAGTGAGTGATCAATAACTTAATGGTTACTGATGATATATAAATTCCTTAATATTTAAAGCCTATATGAAGCATGTCACATGTAATGTAACAACAAAATATGATCAAAGCAGTATTGTATTAGAACAAACTAAAAATGTAAAGTGTTTGTTGATTGCAGTGTTTCTGTTTCTCAACATTAAAATAAACAATGGCTGTTTGCGGTCATTTCCCAGTGTTGGGTTGCAGCTGGAAGGGCATCCGCTGCGTAAAACATATGTTGGATAAGTTTGTGGTTCATTCCACTGTTGCGACCCCAGAGTAATAAAGGGACTAAGCCGAAAAAGAAATGAATAAATGAATGAATGTTTGTGGCCACTGGTATTTTGCGTACCTGTTGTTCTTTGCTAAACCAGTAGGCTACACTGTTTGTTCCATTTAAGCATTTGTTAAACAGGATTTGGATCACATTGATCTAACCCAATGTTCCTTTAAAAACCATAAAAGTAAGATAAATCAGTTAATTCTGGATAGCCAAACATGGAATTTCCAAATCTTAACCAATTTGATCCAGATTAATGTTTTTGAAAAACTGGGCCCTGATCATCTGGTTGAAATGAGAGGCAAATTTGAGGGTCATCAGCATAGCAGCGGTGTGAAGAGGCATGATCTTGAAAGAGAGTTTGTATTGATGCCATGTAGAGAAGAGTAGTGGTCCAAGAACTGAGTCTAAGGCACCTCAGTAGCAAAATGTTGCTACTTAGACACTTCACCCCTCCAAGATATCCAGACTTGAACCACTGGAGTGTAGTACATGAGGTGCCCTTTGTATTGAGGGTCGACAGGAAAATCTATGGATCTAGGCCAGTCTTTAATATACTCAGTTAAAATACTTGGGTTAAAAATACCCCAACATATAACCCAACTATTGGTTATTATAGCACCTTCCCAACTGTGGGTTATTTTAACCCAATGTATTGTTTTTTTTTTTTTTTTTTTAATAAGTGTAATTATTTTCCAATCTGGTATTACTATTGATACTATTACTAGTACTATAAATGTTATAATTATGGCTGTGTATTGTGTAAATAAATAACATAAAGTTTTAAAAAATATTGAAAATACTTTATATCCTTTGCATTTTAAGTACCAGACACTTTTAAAATGATTTTTTTTATCAATTTAATATAGATTGGCTATGAGTGCTGGTGAAATGGACATAAAACACATGACACAGAGGTAATTTGATTAAACAATATTGTTAGAGCTTAAATAAACTTTATAATGGAAAAACTTCATGTACACACAAAAATACTGCGTTTTGAGCCAGTTAAATCTGTTGACTGTTAAAATTCAACATTTTTAACCCAACTGGTTGAGTTATTGAATAAATAACCCACTGAAGGTTAAAAATAACTTTGAGTTATTAATAAATAACACAATAAAGGTTAAAAAAAATAACCCGACAAAACACCAAATATTTTTAACTCAGCCATTGGTTTAAATAGATAAATCAACATTTTTTAGAGTGTAAGCCTAAATGACCATAAACAGGGCAGCCTCTTAAAATAGTAGAGGGTGCGGCAGAGTTTTCTTATTTTATCCAGGTTTTGTTCTGCACCATTAGATTGATAATTTAAGGGCTTGTATTAGATGTACTGAAGTTTGCTTTGTTACCGCAGACTAACAATTCCTGACACCAATGAAGAATGAAAATAGTGTATTAGTGCAGGCAAAATGCAAAGGATTGGGCTGCCTGTATTGTGTTGGGGTTCCTGCTTGTAAAGATTTAATAGGTCATAAAAACTGAAACAGTAGAGAACAAGTTGTCCTTGCTCAGTGGATTTGAACAGGTAGAGTCGTAGGTCTTTACACTCGTCGGTCTTCACACAGGGGTTGCGGTATAACAGCAATTTAATACCTGTCTGTTATGCTGTAATTGAATTCAGCAGGACATGCTTTACTGTTTAACACAACAAAGGACCAAGCAAGTGCACACAACTGATAAGCCACAACACAAAGTTTGTGACTTGCTCAGGGACAAAAATTATCACATTATTACCGTTTTTTGCTGTATTGTAATCAAATTAATGCCTAAATTGTATCTACAAATAAAATATTAAGCTCTTTTTATGGATCTTTTTATGTCTGTATCTGTTCCTTGTGCAAATAAATCAGTCTATAATTAATGCATATCTTTAATCTAGCATTATGAATATTTTTAGTTAAAGAACTCAACATGTGCAAAACACATAGGTCTCAAACTTTATTCCTGGAGGGCCACAGCTCTGCAGATTATAGCTGCAACCACCTCTAAATCACACCTGCTTAGTCGTTTTCAACACCTTGATTAGTTTGATCAGCTGTGTTGGATTAGGATTGGAGCAAAACTGTGCAGTTCTGTGGCCCTCCAGGAAATGAGTTTAAGACTTATGGCATAACATGTTGAATGACATGTGGCCTCCTATTATATACAAATTCTAATTAAGGGGTTTTAAGTCTTTTAGATAGCATGGACCCCCAAAGATGATAAAAATATTATACAGTTTATTTGCAGTGTTTCTCAACCACGTTTCTGGAGGATCACCAGCTCTGCACATTTTTCATGTCTTCTTAACCAAACACACCTGATTTTGATCATCAGCTCATTAACAGGGACTGAAAAACCTGTAATGGGTGTGACAGACAATTGACATGCAGTGTTGGTTGCCTTCCTGGAACGTGGTTGAGAAACACTGGTTTATTGTATAAAGACCCAAATTTATATCATTAAAAAAAAAAAAAAAAAAAAAAAAAAAAAAAAAATATATATATATATATATATATATATGTGTGTGTGTGTGTGTGTGTGTGTGTGTGTATATATATATATATATATATATATATATATATATATATATATATATATATATATATATATATATATATATATATATATATATATATGGCTGTGTATATATATGGCACTATATATTATATATATAGTGTCTAATACCGCTTTTTTGTACTATTATAATATTTTGTATTATTATATTGTATTATTTTTTGTATTTATTTATTTAATTACCTAATTTGTATTTATTCATATATATTGGTTGTAAATTATTTAAATAAATAAATATTTAGTTAATAAATTTACTTCCTTTTTCATAATGTTTTATTGTTTTTTTAATTTGTTTTTTAGTTTAAATAAATTATTCTAATTTTTTTTTGTACTTTTGCATTTTTGTTCTCTAAACTTCTTTGGTTACTACGTTTACTTGTAAGTATTTATACTTGATTGATTTTTATTTTTATTTTCCTATTCTTATAAAAAAAAAAAAAAACAGTCAGTGTAGCAAAAAACCAACACTAGGTGTCACAATTGTTCAATCTTAAAGATGGAATTTACGCATAAAAATATTAAAAAACAAAGCAGAAATGCTTACTGTGGATTTCACTCTTATAAATAATGATTCCATTTCAATTTATGTTAATATATTAATTCATAGTTAAATTAATTTATATTATATTAATCTAACTTATATTAATATTT